CATGGATAGGAGATAGGCAAAAGATTCCTCTGAGTCTATGATAAAATGTGTCCTCCTAAAATCATTCAAGAGTGCATATTCATTATTCTCCACTATCTATTGGAATAAAATGTTCAAATGGGAAGAGGAACAAGGGAGGGGGAAAGGAAGGAAAAGAAAAGAAAAAGAATAAAAGGGGAAAATGGAAAAAAGCTTCTGTAAATAAGGAGAGGAGGAGGGGATAAAGGGAGGGAGGAACTGGGGAAAGAAGAAGACTCAAAATGTGTCATCATAGGGAATGTACAGATACAAATTCCCTATGACAAATGTGCTCAGTATGTATACCTGAAACGTACCAATAAAATTAATTTTTAAAAAGTGCAGCTGGATGTGGTGGCACACATCTGTAATCTGAACACTTGAGAAGGCTGAAGCAGGAGGATCATCATGAGCCAGCCTGGGGCATCCAGTGAACTCAAGGCTGGCTAGGACTGCATCATGAGACCCTGTCTCAAAACAAACAACCAAAGTACATATTTACAACTCATTTAAAACTATGTAGGTGCTGTTATCCATAGATCCCCTGACTCCTGTGCCCAAAGACATTATGTTGAACCCTTAGATTGAAATACCCATATGTTCTGTTGAATTGCATTAAAAGACACAGACTATGGGGTTATTCTTTTTTTTTTACCTTGAAAACCTTTACCTTGAATGTATGGCTATACATTAGACAGACTATTCGACAAGACCCTTGGCTCTTGACTTCCCTGCCCTGCCCTCCCCTCCTTTCTCCCCCCCCCCCCATTTTATTACTTTTTGGTGTTAGAGATTGAACATAGGCCTCTGCACATGCTAAACACACACATTAACACTAAGCTGTACCCAACCCTCCCATTCGTTCTACAATATTTTATTGAGATATCTCACCCCCCATGCCATTCATCTATAGATGTATTCATTCCCTCCCCACAATCAATTTTAGAAAACTTTCTCACTCTAGAAACTTAGGACACATTGGCAGCCATTCTCATCTTCTTTCAGCTTATACTCTAGCTCCAGGTAATCACCAGTCACTTTTTGTCTTTATGGATTTGTCTATTCCAGATGTGACTTCTCCTGTTATTTGTCCATTGTGTTAACCCATTTATAGGACTGTTGTGCCAAGTTAAATACCCATATACTGATAAAAGTACTAACTCAGATCAAACAATTTGGTGTAAGTAAAGTCTTTTTCCCCCTTACTAAATTGTGAGATTTATTCTTTTTTTAAAAAAAGGTGATAAGTACAAAGAAAGAAGTGTATTACATTGTGACATTTTGTGTATATATGCTGCTGATTGTTTTGTCCTTCAAATACACTCAATCCTTTCCTTTTCAAGGCCTATAGTCATAATGTTTTCTCTGCCTCAGATGAGTTTCTCTGAGCCTTCTCAAAGCCAGATAGATCTTGTTCAATTTTCTAGTGTAAATTCAAATGACACAATTTCAGAGAAGCCTACCTTAGCCATCCTTAATAAAACCTCTAGCTATATCTTTTTTACCACCTTTGCATATTTATTTTACCCACTTATCACTGTCTGAAATTATCTTGTTCTTTTGTTTTCTTTTTCATTTAACTATCTTCTTTCACTAGACTAATAGTTTATTGAAGCAATGAATCTTGTTTTCTTTGCTCTGCTCCTTACTCTGAGACTTAGAACATTAAATAGTTGGATGTTTCTTAAATGAATGAAAAATGAGGATTTGTGGTAGGAGGCTGAATTGAATGAGAGAAATAATAGCATATTTATGGAAAGTAAACTTGGGAGATTATAGAAGATGGCGGCTTGCTAGGTCGCTGGGTGGAGAGCCTCTCTGGAAAAACAGCTCAGATGCTGGAATTTGACAACATGGAGAGGGCCGGATGAGTGGAGAAGGATTCTCACTAACCCAGGAGTAAAAGAATAGGGAGAGGAAGGAAAAATGTGAGGGAAGGGCTGGAGCCTGACGCACTCACTGAGACTGGTCCATGCTGTGCTGGGAGCACTGTGGAGTCAGGCAACTTAAAGTTGCCCTGAAGCCATGGCCACCAATAATGGGAATTGGTAAGTCCTGGGCCCTTGGTGGGAGGACGTGATGCAGCGTGGAGTGGAGCCAAGGTGGGGAACTACATTGATTCCTGGTGAGTGTTGGAGATTGGGTCCCACAGCAGGTGTCGCTGGCTGGAGGACATCTTGGAGTGGGGCAGAACCCCATGCTGTTGTGGCATCAGTCAGCTGTCTCTGGCCCAGAGAGGACTGCTGGGATTTGCTTGGGCTGAGTCACACCCCTGTTGGGACCCAATAGCCAGGGATGAAACTGTCCTGACCCTGTGATGTCTGCAAAGCACAGGCTAAGTTGCTGAAAGCACTTGTGGGTTGACTGCCTCAGAGGCTAGAGGCTAGCCTGCATCATCCCTGCCTGCATCTCAGATAACAGCAAATTGGAGAGGGCAGCAAAACCTCGGCCAGCATGCTTCGGAAAAACTGAAAGCAATACGGAGAGGGCCAGGGACCTCCACAACACACCTATCTGAAAGAAACCAGAAACATGACAAGAGATAGAAAAAAAAAAAAAAAAAAAAAAAAAAAAAAAACCTCCAGCCACTGACCCTGGGAAAATAAGCCCAAGAGAGGTAAACACAGAAGACAACCAGTGCAGCAATCATGCAATATTAGCCACAACATCAGCGGACATAAAGAAATACCTTTGTGACTTCATAGATGAACTTAAAACTGAAATTCTAATCCAAGTGAGGCAAGATATAAAAAGATTAATTAAAGAAATGCTAAGCCCCTCCCAAGAAAACACAGATGGAAAAACGGAGGAACCCAGAAAAGGAAGAGAAACCTTTGATTAAGAATAAAAAAAAAAAAAAAAAAAAAACCTAGAATACATGAAACAGATCCAAAGAGATTACCAGGAAACTAAAAACTCATTGAAAGCTGGCAAAATTCCTTGACAGAAACTAAAGTTAGACTTTCAAAACTTGAAGAGAGATTTATAATGTGTGATCGTGAAAGAAAAGATCTCTTAAAAAAACAAGGAATCAGGAAGAGAAAATTCAAAGGCTAGAAGACCACAAGAGGGGCTATAACTTAAGAATAAGAAACATGAGTGAAGAAGCAGGAGTAACCACAAGTGAATTACAAAGATTGTTCACAGAAATAATTAAGGAAAACTTCCCAAACATAGAAAAAAAAATGATATCCAGATAAATGAGGCATACAAAACTCCAGCCAACTACAACCAAAACAGCTCTACACCCAAACATATAATAATCAAGATCCCAGACATCCACCACAAGAACAGCAGCCAGAGAAAAGAAACAGATCATCTACAAAGGAAAAATGATCAACATAATGACAGATTTATCAACACAAACTCTCAAATCTAGAAGAGCCTGGGAGGAAATAGTCCAAGCCCTGAAAGAAAATAACCTCCAACCCAGATTGATGTGCCCAGAAAAACTGTCTCTAAAAATTAATGGAAAAATAAGATATTTCCAAGACAAGGAGGAACTGTGGGAGTTTATGGCCTCCAATCCAACCCTACAAAAAATACTGAAGGACATTTCAGAGAGAGAGAGAGAGAAAAAATAGCAGAATTCCAGAAATAGTGACAGAGAGGCCACAATGAATGGGACAGACAGTGGAATAAAGGAGTAAAATATACAAATAAAAGCAGAAAAATAGAATAGCAGAGATGAGGCAGAGAAGGTAGGCTATAATCTTTAATATAGATATCCTTGATAACAAAAAGAAACACAGGCAGAGTAGATTAGGAGGCAGGATCCACTGAGATGCTCTGAATAGCAAATGGACTCAAACTGAAAGAGGGTTAACGAACCAAAAATTGAATGATGCTCTATGTGACAGGAAACCAGAGAGAAATAGGGACAACTCGTCCTGCAGCCGCAGATAGATTAGAAAGTTATGACACTTTTCAGCAGTGTAGAACTACACAGCTGAAAGGAAGGAAAACCTTGTGGCTTTAGTAAGTAAAGGAGTATAGCTCAAGATCAAGTTCAGGGGTAAAAAGGTTCAGCAACACTCAGCTAGATAACGGGTTGACCCCCTAATCTAAAAACTAAAAGAGCTAGTGGGACCCAAAAGATACAAAGCATCCTGAGAAGGGGAAAGGTGAGAAATTGCCTTAAAAAGGAAGGCAGAGGACATTGTTAATAGTGTATCAGGATTTAAAAATCACAGTAGTCTTATCACTCTGTTTAGTTTGATTTTATTTTGTTCTGGTCTGTCTTCTTGTATCAGATTTGAGGGCACAGACAGCTATCCCCAAAATAGCAGGTTATACCACGGTAACTATCCTTAATTTCCTACTAATTTAAACTGAAACCCTGTATTACTTACATTATCTTACTATGACTGATCTTATTTGAAGCTGGTTTGTTAGACCGCTGTTTTGCCTTGGCTGCTTTTATTCAGATTTGGTATGCTTGCTAGTATCGAGTCTAAGAGTAGTGACAACTACTCTGAAGATGACAAGATGTAAAGGATACCCATTCTGGTTTGATTATTAACTGCTTGCGAAGTCCTACAATGTCTCCAAAGTTGTGTTTTTATTAAAATAGCTATGTAATGCTATGTTGAATTATATTATGTCTGATGATGTAGACAATTCTATTGAAAATAACGACAGAAAGCATAGTGACCACTGTAGATCACCTAATATTGTGGTCTTATATGTCCTTTTCATTTCATGTTTTTCTAGGAATTCATTTTGTTGTCCTGTTTTGATCTGTTTTTCACTATAATACAGAAAGGATAGATATACATGTAGAGATTCACACATGGGGAGAATTTCTAAACTATTTACAGGAACAGATTATATAATGCACAATATAATGAACAGATACTCTGAAGAAGAAGAGACACTAAGAAAACCAATGCTAATTCTGCAGCATTATGATATAAAATCTAGCAATGCTATTATTCACTGTTTAGAGTGATATTAATCTAGTCTCTTATGTTCAATTTCAGCATACGTAAAGATAAGACAGCTACTACGAAGAGAATGACAAGCATTATGGCTGTCATTGACTTCCTCAATGTCAGGTCTTGAAGACCTAAAAAGCCTTCATCATCTGTCGTGATTTGATTAGTTCTATAATGTTCAGTATGTATTCAATGTGTGTGAAGATGGGGACAACTATTTGGAAGAAAACTACAGACAATAAGATAGAGAGTAAAGATTTCCAGTAGACTTGCTTTGAAATCTATGTTTCTTTAAAGTTTTTTTTTCCTTTTGATCTGTTTTGTTCTATTTTGTTATGTTTAATTTTACCCTTTAAAATAAAAAAAGAAAATAAACTGATGGGAAAAGAAGCCAAAAAACAAAAGTAAAGTGAGAAAAGAAGATTCTGGATTAGATTTAACAGGTTAAAGTCATTTTTCTTTTTGAAAATGTTATATTACTTGGCATATATTTCAGGGTATTCCTTGGAATACTATGAATCTCATCCAAGATCATTTCAACAGGGCCTAATGCCAAGATAAGAAATTTTAGAGATTGATCAGTGATGATTTTCTCTTCCAGAGAAGCTTTATTCTGAAGTTGAGCTTCCACATAGCATTTCTTAATTTTTTAATTTTTTTGGTGCTTCAACCTCTGAATCATATTTTCATTTCGGATGAGAAGTAAATGAACACAGCTGGTTCTTGCATTATCCTCAAAAATTTTTAGATTAGGCAACACTTCACAGAAAAAAAAAAGTGAAACAAACCAAATTTCTTAGGAATGTGTAGATTCTTATAAAGGAGCTATGTCAGATACATATGCCAAACTTGCTAGGTGATAGCTGTACCTTAATCATAATTAAAATATCATTATTAAAATGTATCAGGCTTCACACTGCTCAGAGCTTCCAGACAGAGATAAATTGTTGTCAAAATCTCTGTGAACACAGATTTTAAAATGGATCAAGGAATTTAGTATCATTTTTCTGCAGTGTTAATCTAAAAGATAAGGAAATGTTTTGAAATGATTCCTCCTGTGTGCACCAAATATATGGTGTGTTGAGTACCCGAGAGGCCTTCCAATCTCTGCCTGCTGCCTTACACTGGAATAGTATCACAATTTTGCAACACTCCCAAGGAAACTTCACTTCAGAAACATTTCCCCACTATTTTATCTGCGTTTGCTCAAGGAACTGAAGTCATCATGTCCTGAGCTGAGTGCCATATGTGAGGTCTCTAACCAGCACACAGAAAACTGTATAGCACCGTTATTCAGTGCCTCCTGCCATCTGCAAGCCTGTGGAATTCAGGTGCCCACAGGAAGGAATGGAGAAGTTTTCCAGCTTGACCGTATCAGCATCTCACCACAAGACCCTTCTGTTTTGGCTGAAGTCCTTCTGTGGGACTCAGGCTGTTCTTTATGACCACATGTGAGTTTAACGCGTCTGGTTTACGTTCTGTCAATGAAGTGTTTCTCTATTCACAGGCTCCTTTCCAATGGTTATATCCAACAGCCTGACTGCTTTGTATTGAAGCTTGTTTTTTAAGAGGAAGTAGGATGGGTGGATATCGGGGACTATAAAACAGCTCTAGGCATGTAAATTCAGGGAGTAGTGGACTTAATGATATGAAAAAGAGAACCAGGCACGATAATGCAGCAGGGAAAGCCAAGCACATGGGATGATGGGTGTCAGGATGTGGGAGGCGAGGAGATAACAATGTGATTGTAGAGTAGGCAGCAGCACCAAGAGAAAATGTGGCAAAACAGCACAAGTTGGAATGACTGTTCCTTCCTTATATTTGTGAAGTGTGGGCTGCTGTAAGCTATAGTACCAAGGCAAACAGCTCGGTGGAGAGGAGAAAGGTTTTAAAAATGTGTCTTAAAACCCAGCCCGCTGGAACTATGAAAGCAGCCTCAGTGAGCAGGATGGACTTGCACGCCTCCAGTCACAGAGGTGTAGGAAAAGGAGTGGCTTTGGTTACTGGAAACTGATATTTGCATTGGACAGCACTATTATTTGAATTGGATGGTGAAAGGGAAGGTGCATCTTAACTTTATCAAACATATTACAGATGTAATTCTTAATTCCTCCACTTAAGGCTGTTTTGTTGGTGGGCATAGGACTGTTAGTATGTTTAAAATTGGTTTTAAAAAATTATCTTAAAGCTCTTTAACTATTCTAAGAATATTTTCAAACTCCTTAAGGATCCCCAGCATAATTCCTGTGCATCATCAAAGACTGCTACCTACTCTATTCTGTTTTTAATTGTGTTCAAAAAGTGTCTCAGGTCCAGAGCCAGCTTGGAAGCAAGCTTCACTATTCTTCCTTCCTGTGTGTGTAGCAACCAGAGAAAGCCGTTGAATAAAATATTTCTCCCCCAGTGTCCCGCAGGCTGGAGTGTGCCTATTTAAGACACCAAGTATCTTACATTTCAGGATGATATTTGCATGGGGTGCAAAAAAAATTTTTTTCCCTTCAGATGACTTGTTCATGTTTTCTGAACATGACTCAGTTAAAGCTAAATGAAAGAGTCTCCTCAGAATAAAATGAGCTCAGCTTTTATGGCTAGCTTTCCGAGGCGCTCTCTGCCTCCCTTCCCTTTTCATAGCCAGTGTGAATGGCTCAACGCTGGCCCTCAGGCGGCCCTGTCTCTGGCAGAGCAGGAGCTGGGCTTGCTCCCTGGCAGCGCCCGGCTCCCTGCTCGCAGCCGCCTCGGGTGCACTCGAGGTTTGAGCGTGGGGTGGGAACGGAGGCGTTTCCGTTCTATTTCGGGTTCTCTACTGACTGGCTGCTCAGCTGTTCATGAGTCACCCTAACCTCAAATTCTGTCATTAAAACAGAAATAATGATACCTATTTTCTGTGCCTCGCATGAATTGCACGAACATATTATTCATATTTCTGAAATCCATGTGAGAATTAGTCAAGGTTAGGTGGAAGGAAAAGTACAATGTAAATGTTCCTAAGCTGTGATAGCTATGCTTTTTTATCATTAAGGTTTTGAGAATCCTCTGCTGAGAGAAGAGATTTTTAAATGAGGATTAAATTTGGCTCTATCTTTGACAAACTGGGTGGAGAATATAGATAGTTTTAGAAAATACACGGCATTAGAGCATATTTATTTGAGTATTCACTTACCATTATCGAGCCCATTCTGGCACTGACAGAGTCACATACTAGAAGTACGAAAAAAACAATGATTCTAGGTAAGTGCATGTGCAAGTCTGCTAATGTCAGAGATTTGCACTGTGATGTCATCTATGTTCCTGATTCTTACAGCAGGGACTAGGAGCTCAGAAGGAATTCTGCAGTTTGTCTTACTTAGTTGCTCTTTGAAAGTTTCTGAGCACAATGATTTTTAAAATTGTTTTTATTCATTTCTATTTAGAAATGAAAAACATTAAAAGGACATGAGTTTGTCTCTGGGTATCATTTTGACCATAGTCTATATATTGGTTTACTACCCAGTGTTGTATTATGTTATAAATTCTCTACAATTATAACTTTCATTAGATGATCATGTAAAAATTCTAAGTGATATTAAGCTGATGCTTTACATTTTGTCCTCTGTACCTTCTGGCTTACATAAGCAGATTTATTTGCATAAGCAGTTGCTTTTGTCTTTATTGTAGATGGCAAGTTTCCCATATGCATTGTTGTATACTCGACTTCTGGGCTAGGACAATATCTTACATGACTGCTTAATTCTTCCTAGTCTTCATACACAAGGCTTCTAGCATACTAAGCAGTGTTTGCTACACAGGCGCCTACAAATAGAATTCTTCCAAGCAGAAGTCTTTAGGACAGTGTCTGCAAACAGTGAAAATGAGTGTATTTACTTGAATTTGGGAACAAAAATAAAATGGAACCAAATACCTGGCCTTTATTTGCCCAGCAAGGCCTAAGAAAGGATATACTCATGAAGCGATATCTTGTCTTTGGGATGGATATGATAGTATTGGTATCCCTTGGACTTGAGCTCAGTTGTATGGTATTCCTCTTTGCTCTTGGGAGACACCATAGGGTAGCACGGAGTTTCTGTGCAGCAGTGTTCAAACATCATGATGGAAGCCCCCATTTTCAGCCTAGGAGTTGGATAAAGATTGTTTAAGCAGGGACTGCCCCAACACTGGTCCCCATCTAGCTCTGCAGATTGTCATCTGAGACAAAAAGAATCTTCCTTCTTCAAGCTTTTGCTTTAGTCACTAAAAACCCAAGACACAAATGGGGCCCTCATTATTATTGGCCAAGAGAGAAATAGGATCCTAATTATTATTTCCTCAACTGTTTTAGCTCATTCAGGAAAAATATGATTAACTTGTTTTCTCTCCCCAGGTTGTATGTTCCCAGCATATACAATGCTCCTTGCTAAAAGCTCCGTAACTGGGGCTGGGGATTTAGCTCAGCCTTGCAAGCGCATGGTCGTGAGTTCAATCCCCAGTACCAACTAAAAAAAAAGTCCTAAAAGCTCCATAACCTATCATTTCTCAACTCTCCATTTAAACTGTATTCATAGGCTCTGACAAATTAGAGACTTTGGGAGCAATTCTTTTGTTATTAAGAGAAAAGGAAGGAGCTCTATGTTAACAGCCCAGATCCATCAGCATCAAAATAACTTCACTCTTGTTTTGACTTACCAGCTAGGCTTCCTCATGACCATGTGACCATGTGTGCCAACAGCAGCTGAATACTGAACATCATTTAGTCAGCCCTGGATAAACCACTGAATGTGTGTTTTCCTCGATGGCCTACTACCTGGACCCTATTGCACCCATTTGAATTATGTACTCACTCAATTTTGGCTTCTGTGATTAAGTTAAAAAAGCAAACAAAAATGTTAAGTTATTACCATATGCTATGCTGTAAATCCAATTTTCCATATTCTCTTCTTGGCTTCATAATCTAGTAAATAACCTGCCATCCTGGAGAAACCACCTGGAAAGGAACGGAAGGTAATCAACATGTAACTGGGGGTTACAGTCCAACAACCTTTGTGAAAATGAGTGCTATCCTAAACTACTGACTTAGCTTCCCAGTAGATCCTTCCTCAGACCTTCATATTAGACCTGTAGAAGAACATGAACCAGAGTATCCAAATAAGTGGTGCTCAGATTCCTCACTCCCACCAACTATCTCTGCTACACTAAAATAACTTGAATAACTTGAAAGATAGAGTACTTCTCCTGGAATTAGAAACCTATCATAAATATCTTTGGTGCAGTTGGACTCCACTTAAGTTTTGCTCCCAAGGAAGGAAAATAATTCTTTATTATTGTGCATCTTCTTATGTATCCCATAAGGGATAATATAATGAAAGAGTTCTGTGTTTACTTTCTCACTGTTACCACACAATACCTAAATATCCATAATTTAAAGAAGAAGATGTTGAATTTGATTAATGGTTTCAGAAGATTCAGTCCATGGGTAGCTGGCTTCACAGCAGAAATATTATGGCAGAAGGGCATGGTGTACCAAAGCTGTGTAGTATGTGACTAATGGGAAGCAAAACAGGTGAACAGTGCCAGACAGGAGAAGGAAGACTGTATATAGTACCTATGGTCATGCCACTATGACCCAACCAGACACATGCAGAGTATGCTCCATCAACCCTGTGGGTGGTTTCCAAGTTAATCAAATTGAGACAATCAAGTTTGTCACAAGTTCAAGTGCTGACTGTGTGTTATTATCTGGGGAGACCATTCAGAGGAGTGATGACTTTCCAACTTCTGCCTTTGGAGATTCTCCCCCTGGGCTTCACCTGAGGCTGAGTTTCACCTAAGGCTAGGCTTTAGGAACTGTGGACTATTATGAGATGCAAAGAATTGTTCACTTTTAACCATGAAGGAGAGAAGCAAAGTTAAATGAAGGGGTAAGAAATTACATTTAGGTAAACAGATATGGCTTTGTTTGTTGTAATTTTCCAAAGCCAAGCATTTGGGGATTTTAAAACTTTATAGGTCTGTATACTTTATGTATACAACTGAGTTAGGTAGGAGGATCAGAGAAGTTTTTGGTAGATTCAAACAAAGAAAGGGAAGGGGCTCCTGTCTTCTTGTAAGTTAATTCTCCCCCCTTTTTTTCTTCCTGCTCTCTCTATACCACATAAGTTTCACCATCTATCCAAACACTGAGCCTTTATGCTGTGGACTGTGTCACTTCCTAGTGGAGAATCCATTCACATTCATACTGTCACTTGATCATATTTCTTGAAGCACCACCAGATGGGCCTTCCAATAGCAGAGAAACAACTAAGGTAGGTTTTTACAAAGTCATGAGTTGAGTTCTAAAGACACAGTTTGTTCTGATTAGTAAGACAGATGGGAAGTACACACTTAGTGTGTCTGCCTGAGTCACCACCATTTCAAATGCTTAGAAGTTGTCACTATGGGAAAAAATGCATCACCATCCAAGTGTATGTGAAAGACAGATAGTCAGAGATAAACTATCAGGCACTCTTAGAGTGCAGTCATGGATTAAAACTGAAAGTCACAGAAAGTCACAGATGCAATCTCATCGTTACATACATTTACTTATAAAATAAAAGCTGTTATTTTTCACCATGGGTTCTGTATTAACACAAGCTTCTATAACAAAATATAGATTGGGAAGCTTAAAGAAGAAAAATTTAGTTTCCTCACAATTTCGGAGACTGGGTTTGGAGTTAAGTTCTTGAGAGGACTTGCAAATGCCTGCCTTCTTATTATTTACATGGAAGAGTCAGAGATAGAGATGATAGAGATAGAAATAGAGACAGAGATGGGGGGAGAAGGAGAGGGAGATAAAGAGAGGAAAAAAAGAGAGAGAAGATGAGAGGAGAGAAAGAGGGGCTGAGGGTGCTTCCTGGTGTCTGTTCTACAGAGGCACTAATCCTGTCACAAAGGCCTCAATGTAATGACCTCAATAACCTTCATTGCTTCCTACAAGACCCATCTCCAAATATGATTCACTAAGCTTTAGGGCTTCAAAGAGCTTCAGGGCTTTTGAAGGACACAACATTCAGCCCACAGCAAGATCATTTTTCGTAAGTATTTTTTCACACCAAATGTTAACTACATGTTTTTAGAGAGCTCAGTTTAAGCAACTTTTTACATGGTATCTTCTAGGTATCACAGAATGTTCAGTGCCAATCAATGAATATTTCTTCCAATTATGATTTTATTCAGCCTTTTAGGTTACAGGAATATGAAAGCAAAACTATGTAGGTTATATTAGCAATGTCCCTTTTAAAATACTTCCTATGTTAAATAGTTACTGATAGTAGATGTTACAGAACAGGCATGGAAAAGGGATTCAAATGGCTTTAAGTGTCATAAAATGTATTTTGCATGCAGTAAGACCAAAATGTTAAGTTCCTCTCACAAATTCCAGTAACCTTGTATATGAAGACTTATGCTGAGTGGCCTTAAAAAAGGTCATTATACCCTGATGCTTTCACAGCCTGCTCCTTTTCTCTGTAACAAGTGCTTACTATTATGGGAAGAATGCCTGCCTTTTCTTTGCAGCTTTCCAGAGCTTTAAGGAAGCAGGGTTTTTAATCACACTCTTCTTTTCTTGCTTGCACTTCTGACTTCTCTAAGTTGGCAACAGAATTTTAAGTTCATTTTGGAGATAGCATCACTCTTTAACCTTGGACAAATTAAAAGTCTCTGCCAGGGCATTTCTATCCATTTTATTGCTTCATTCCTTTATTCTCATGTCAAGTACAAGTGAACTGGAGCCAGAAATCAAAATTAGAGCAGAACCCTTATTCTATTTCTCGATCAGCTAAACCAATTAATACAATTTAATTAAAACTTGTTTTCTTTCTTTTCTGCAGAAGGGGCTCCAAGTGCAGCTGTTGCGATCAGGTTTTCAGTGTGAGGCTGAAGCTTTATTTAACTCTTACAGGAACATTTTCAGGGTGAATAAAAGTGATACTACTGACTTCACCTTAAATACCCTGGCATATTGCTTCCTGAAGATGCATATTTTTTTAAATCTTGTAATGGGGGGACTTGATATCATGTTTCACTAGTATCCGTGCCTACAATAAATTACTTGGCAACTCAACCAATTCATCTGCAAATGCAAAATAATCCTGTTACAATGACAAATGTCCTCTAATTTTATAATAGGATGTATTTTTTTACCTTAGATTGGAATAAAAATTCATGACAGCAGTGACACTCATCATTCTTCTGTTAGTCTTATCTTTCAATATTTTTGTAAGTTCTACAGATAAGATAGGGAATGCTTTAAATTATACACATACATAAAGCAGTGACAAATGATTCATTTACTTAGAAGAAAAACCCAACCAGAACTTTTTCTTCACTTGATATCCCCAACCTACCTTGGTTATATCAATACCTTTCTTATGATTTTGCTGAGTTGTGTTTAAATATAAAATGGTCCCTGAAGCTTCATGTGTGAGGAAGGGGACTGCATCGTGTGGAATTGCTTCTTGTCAGTGGCTTCATCCATTGAAGACTGTGGTACCTGAATGTGCTATGGGGAAGTGGGGCTGGGTTGGGAGTGAGTCACTATGCACATGACCTAGAGGAGTGTTTTCTTGTCTCCAGCTTCTCTTTTCTCTTTCTGCTTCTTTGCTGCCATGGGTTGGGTACTTTCTCCTGTACCAGGCTGTTCTGCCAACCTGTCTTTGCCCGGAGTCAACCACCTATGGACTAAAACTATATGCCAAAATACACCTCTCCTTTAAGTTAAGGATGTTAGATGTTGAGCCCCACTGACTGAAAAGTAACTAAAATGCCATCTATTTTCCAGGCAAGACAGAGGAAAGGAAAGAGAACTGACAGAAGTCTTATGTCAGACTTCCGGGAGAACATGGCGGACATATAAGAGCAGCTACGGAGGCTCTCTGAGATTGCCAGTTTAAAATCCAGGAGTCCTAAGCAAGGGGAGATATACCCTGCTGACCCAAGAGTGAACTAAGCTGAGAGAAACCAACTGGAAATGCAATCCTGGTGCTATAACCGGAACAGATAAAATCTCAGCACCAAAGCTGGAACCCCCACCATTGGAAGCCGCCATTTGAATTTCCTGTCACTGCTGCTGTGTCTGAATTGGCACAGCAGGGACAGAGATGTGCAAAAGCTCTGAGAGTGGGAGTCAGTGAATGGGGTTGAGAGCAGGACTGGCGGCGAGCCTTGCATCAACCTGCGGGGAGTGAGAGGAACGGGGACTCTTCCATAGACTAGGAGGCTCCAACAGAGGACATTCTGGGACATTCTGGAACAGGATGCTGCAGTGAGTTTAGTTGCATATTCCCCTCTCAAGCAGGATTGGTGGGGAGCACATGACCTGGGTGACACCACGGACTAAGATCCAGTAGGCTAGCCCAAACCAGGTCCCAGCACCTTGGGGTGCACCCTAGCAGTGAAGCTTTCAGTAACTTGACCTGGAGGGGCGGGCCCAGCAGAGGCTGCCCAGGTCTGTGTCTCTAGTACACTGCAGTGGGCGGGAACACCTAGCGGCAGATGCAAACAAACTGTAACCGACAGAAAAATAACTGGCCCTCCTATATATGCTTGTATGGAAGGAATAAAATGTATGAGAAGAGAGAGCAACAAGAAAGGTTCCTCAGTCCCCAATCCTGAGAACACTGATCCAGGAAAAGTAAATGCAAAGGAGAATGAGGACAGAAAACATGCAGTATCAGACACAGCACCAATAGACATAAAATGATATCTCTGGTGTCTCATAGACGAGTTCAAAAGTGAAGTATTTAATGAAATAAAGCAAGATATAAGTAGAATAGTTAGAGAAATGCTAAGCACTGCTCAAGAAAAAACAGATGGTGGAATGGAAGGACAGAAAAAAAGGGGAGAATTGTTTGATGGAGAAAATAGAAAAAACATAAAATACGTGAAGCAGGTTCAAAGAGATTACCAGGAAACTAAAAACTCTATGGAAAGCTGGCATAACAGCTTGAAAGAAACTAAGGATAGATTATCTGAACTGGAGGACAGATTTGTAAGGTGGGAGCATGAAAGGAAAAACTTCTTAAAAATAACAAGGAAACAAACAGCAATAATACAAAGGCTAGAAGATGATAAGAGGATCTACAACTTAAGAATTAAGAACATAAAAGAAGAAGTAAGGACACAAACAAATGAACTAACAAAAGCTATTCACAAAAATAATCCAGGAGAATTTCCCTAATTTAGCAAAAGGTAAAGATACTCAGATCTATGAGGCATACAGGACCCAGCCACCTACAACCCAAACAGAGCTACACCCAGGCATATAATAATCAAAATTCCAGAAATCCAATATAAGAACAGAATATTAAAAGCTGTCAGAGACAAGAAAAAAATCACTTACAAGGGAACACCCATCAAAATCAGAGCAGACTTCTCAGCACAAATCATCAAATCATGAAGAGCATGGGGGGAAATAATTCAAGCTTTGAAAGATAATAACCTCCAGCCAAGATTGATATATCCTGCACAACTGTCCCTAGAAATTGATGGAAAAACAAGGTGCTTCCAGGATAAAGAGGAACTAGGGGAATTTGCAATCACCAGTTCAACTCTACAGAGAATACTGCAGGACATTCTAGAAAAGAAAAATACCAAGATTCCAGAAACAGTGGCAGAGAGGCCACAATGAATGGAGCAGAAAGCAAAATGAAAAAGACAAACTGACAATTAATGACAGAAAAAGAGCTCAACAGACATGAGGCAGAGAAGGTTAGATGGTAAGACCACAGCTATTTTGGAGAAAACAATACATAACAATAGATAGTGCTGATTTAATATCATCTTGTTTTGAAGTCCCATCAAGCTGTTGTTGTTCTGTCTCCATCGGTCTTAACATGTTGGATCTTATTGGATTTTATTATATATGATAATATAAACAAAAACTTTTATAGACAAGGAGACTATACAGAAACCATTGTTCATTTTCTGTTAGTTGATTCTAAATACCCTGTAATACTGTCATTCCCTTGAAATGTTTTCCATTGTCTTGATATGTTTGATGCTACAGTATACAAAGTTATACTCAAAGATTTCAAGGAAAGAGACACTATGGCAACTACTTTTATGTTGGGATTATCTTGTGGTGAAACACTATTTTGCTTAAATCATTATGTTTTGATCTGCACTGTTTTGTTGTTATGCCCTCTCTTATGTCATTCTCCTTTTTTTACTATTTACTTTTTTGTTTTTATCCTTTTAATTAAGGGAAAAATAAATAAATAATAGCAGGATATATTATAGTAACCTACTTTGATTTCTATTAACTTGATTTGAAGCCCTGTATTGCTCTCACCATCTTGTTTTGACTGATTTTCCTCTATTCTGTTTTGCTTGATTGTACCAAGTTCGAAAGTATAGGCAACAACTGTGAAGACAATAAGATTCATTATGACGTCCATTCTGGTTGACTACTATCTTCTTTTGAAGACCTGTAATGTCTCCAATATTTTGGTTTTATTGGTTTGTTCTTTACTGTTTTGTTCAATTTTATTATAACTGATGACATAGGCAATTCTTTTTAAAGATAGCAAGAGGCATTATGGTAACCATTATTGATCACCTTATATTTTGTTTTTACAGTATGTATTATGTCCATCCTTTTGATTTGACTGACTCTGTTCTGCTATGTCACATTTGGTTTTACTCTTTTAAAAAAAAATAATAAGAACTGTGGGAGTAATAAAACCCAAAATGTGTAATTGTCATTGTACAAAAGGGAGGAAAAGAAAGTGCTCTAAAGGACATAACTGCATGTATATTTAAGTGTATAAGATAAATAACCATATTACTGATGTCTGTTGGATCATTGGACAGAATTGTTTGCAGTTTTACTGTTTGAATGTCCACTTTATATGCTTTAATTTTGTAACTTGAACAACTATTTCTAAGATGACAATATGTAATCTATTAATTAGTGATTTCCTATTTATTTTTTCTGAAATTCTGTATAACTTGTACCTTTTTTCTGCTTTTTTTCTCCTTAAATAAAAATTTAAAAATATTAAAAAAAGCCTCATGTCAGAAAGTTCTGTATTATTTCTGAAAGTTTTATAGGATGCCCTGTCTAATGATTCCTATGTACCTTTTGGAGGCGTCTGGTAAGTACAGGATTCTAGGAAGAAAATAGATTTTCTTGTTACTATAATTCACCCAAATAAAGAAGATGAAAGTAAAGAACGTGAAAAAATACGTTCAATATGTAATTAGCTGTATCTACCAACTATACCTTAAGCTACCCAAATCCATATACACATTTATTTTAGTGTTTGGCCCCCAAATGTGGTAAAGTGCATGGAAACATTTTTATATGTTATGATGATTGAAGAGGCACTATTCTCTTTTAGTTCATAAGGAAGGGCTAGTAATATTAATATTTCTGTAACATGTAAAATATCCCTAAGTAGCAGAGAATTAATTTACCTAGGATCTCAATACTGGTTCCTGTTGAGAAGCTGGGTCAAATATATAAATATCTCTTATTTTCTGAGAGGAGATTATATCCTGACTTCACATCCATTCCTTTTCCAGGTCATATCAGGAACACTGTAACATTTACTACACATAATGGCCCATTACCTAGTAATCTAGTTATCTATACTTACAAAATGTCAAATATACAATGGTAGACTAGAAGCAGTATTAGCAGTAATAACAAACCTTATTTGGAAAACAATGAAGTCAACAGTTACAGCATTTTCAGGTCTTGTTGACTAATCTGGTATTTAGTTGGGGTACCTTGGATATCTCTCTGGTCTACAGATCATTCACAGTACATGTTAGTTAAGCTTTGGGGTAGGAACACATCACTTACAAGGGTTGCTTGTGCTCTTGGTGCCATATAAATTCGGAGGATTGATTTGTGGGTTGGATAGTTACAGAAAAATGTTGCCCTGTCCTGGAGTCTCTTGTTTGTTTAAGCAGTAAAGCCACCTCACAATTAAGTAGGATTCTAGGGTATTCACTTCAGCCAATTCTCTGAGTAACAATATAAGGATTATGTATGGATGTAACCTCATATATTAAAGTCTTTTATGTGCAGTACTAAATTCTATGTACTGACCATTTTCCTTAAGGTAATTAGAAACAAACTGGTGTTGAGAAGCAAGAATTTAATGTGATCCCCTTCCCACAATTGCTTTCTGTGTTTTGCAGGGAACTTTTATAGAATTGTAGGGAACAAAAACCCAACTATCAGTCCAAAACTGTCTCTTTTAAGGTGTCCTCTGTTTTAGACTGAGAGGCACCAAATTTGTTTAGTTTTCCAAGAGTCAAACCATGAGAGTTTCACTCCACTTGACTTTCAGATCATATACAGGAAATGTATCTCTCAACCAACTTACTTTTCTTAGTAACAACAACAGTTCTTAGTTTATAGATTTCTAATTGCAGTCTCAAATCCATTTGTCTTTTGTGTGATTTGGTATAAGGAGGAAAAATAAAGACAAATTTCATTTTTAATTGTTTTCATCATTATTCCCTAATATATCAGCCTTGATTTGCACATGGTCCATACATGATGTGGAGATAGATAAACCAAATGTTTTATTACTGAGAATGGCAGGTTACCAGCACTATGTAACTGAATCACACTAAAATAGCTTAACCAAATTGGGGTTTATGTTCATCACAAAAGGTGGACATAAGGAGCTCTGTGCCTCTGTGAGATCAGCAGTTACTTGGTTTTTCTTCTTTTTCTCTTGCTCCATCAAAATTAATATGTTTGTTTTAAATCTATTTTCTCTGGTTGGTTATGGGTATTTCTACCTCTGTCTTCATTACTTACTCTATAATCTAGAAAATGCTGTTAAACCTTATAGATTTGACTATTAACTGGGAGAAGGGAATACTAATCTGTGAACTGAATATCATACCTGGGTTTTCTTGACAATTCCAGCCTGTTGTGTTATCTGCTCTTTAGGATTTGAATAGGACTGGCTTGACTTTCTTTAAATCAGTGATGGAAATATGATTTACCTTTCAATTTGTCTATTGTATTCATCAATTCTTGGATGCCTTATATTTCTTCTAGACATTATAGATCTAGATCCTCTAAATTCTAAATCTTCAAACTGTCTGAAGATTTCATGATGCTGGTTGGCTATCTAATAAAACCTTTCATTTTAATGTTCAATATTTCCTTTTCTTAAAATCCCTCAAGTATTTCCTTTCCATAACTTTCCTATCAATTTTTACAAAACCCCAACTTACAGATGTATTATCTATTTTTATTTCTCTTTCTGTCACCTTCATGTCCTAATGTTAAATACTCTTGCCCAAATTATCCCTGATCTATATTTAGGCAGAGGAAATTGGCTCTTCATTTATCGTACTTCAAACCATCTTGATCGTGTCCAAGGCTTTTACCTTGTCATACTTAAGGAGATTATAATTATGTTTTTTTTAAAAAGCAAGAATATTTCTGGCCTGAAATTCTAATTTCAAGCTTTTAAACATTCTTACTCCCTTTTGTCAATCCTCTAATATAAACACATAGTCATAAAGATTACCAGACAGATGTAACTATGATGGGGTATCATGTATTTATTTAGTAAATGCTTATCTTACTTTGCAAATTAGACATATTAATATTTCCAGAAGTTCTGAAATAATTAAACATTATCTAATTAGTGCAATGAAATTTTAAGTACTTGCCATGAAATTTAATTAATTACTATGAAATTGACGGCTGCAAAACAATTATTTATTTAAATTCTAGAATTGAAAAAAGCTTTTAAAAATAAATTATTCTATCCTCTGCTTTTGCAGACAGAACAATCTAAAGTCTATAAATGTTAGCTTGAATTTTGTGGTATATTTTTTATATGAACATCACTCTTCATTGTAGATCTTTCTGGATATACATAAATTTGGTGCATCTCCGAGAATACACATGCTACCTCCAGTTAAGTGAAATTTACTTGTCACAAACTATGATAGAATCTGTCCCTTGCTTTCCGCAGCCTTACTTCAATTTGCAATTATACATTCACCAATAGAATTGATTAATGTCTTCTCCCACTGGACTAGTTTTAAGCTCCATGGGAGCAGGGCCTTTTTATATTTTTCCTAGCACCTAAGAGAGTGCTTTAATTACTGAGAGGTGCTATCCTACTATTCACAGTCTGCAACAGGGGAAACAATTTTGATCTGTACCACACAGCTCTATTATTCAATAATGTCTCGTTACCATTGAATACACCCCGAAATTCAATAAAAAATTCAAATCTCTTGTAATTCACCTTTTTCTCCCTGTTTTTTTTTGTTTTTGTTTTTGTTTTGTTTTGTTTTGTTTTGATTGGGGATCGAACTCAAGACCTTGCACTTGCCAGGCAGGCACTTGTGCCACTGAGCTAAATCCCTGCCCCTTCCCCACTACTCTTTAGAAATTAAATTCCCAGGGTATTCAGTGATCCTGAAAAGTTCTTGAACATCTGTCTATAATGCCACTATCTCCCTAAAATGAATTTTCTCTAAATATTTACTCTTCCTGCCAGATTCAAGTAAAAAAAATTTCTTTCTCTTGTATTAAAGTTATTCAACCTACCTTTAGGCTAATGTGGATGCTTGTTTTTCTGTTTCCTCTGCATACACCTCTATTAAAATACATATCATATGCTTTCAGGGCTGAATTCCTGTACCTTAAACTTTATTTCCTTGGTTCATGAAGCAATGACTATTATATTTTATGCTTTTAATAAATTTTTCTTGAATTAATAAACTATAAATAAATAAGTGACTGATGAAAGATAGAATTTACTATGCTATTTTAGTTATTTGATTTCAGTTTAAATATATGTATGAACACACATACACACACATTCAACACATTTTGCTCTTTTCCTGAATGCAAAACGTGATTAGGATTAGACAGGGAAAGAATCTGTTCCTTTATTGCTAAAATATTTATTTTCTCATTAAATTTCTTTTTTTAGCTAATATTTTCAAATCTTTTGAGTTTAGCATGACTTTTGAAAATTTTACCAGATTGTCTGATTTTAGTTTAGACAGAAGGAGAATCTAGCAATATCCAACAAATACTACAGAAACATTTGGTTTCAGAGTGGGGAAAGGAATTTAAAAATGTATTCCTGGGATACTATCTTTTTTCAATGAATTATTCCTTAGCATTACACAATTAACATGTTCCATTATATCATTTGTAAAGAAAGTTTCTTTACATTAACTCATATATTTCTATTGAGTTAACTTTCTTCATCTTTCCTAATTATTTACTAGATTATTCAAGCAATATGTGGTCAAAACAATAAAAAATTTAAACATAACAAAAGTAGATATATGACCATAAACTGTTTCCCCAAATACTTGCCCCTACAGATAAGTTTAGTGCATATATTTTCCAAATACAGAGGACCCTCAAATTACAACCAGCGTCACATGTAAGCACCTCAGGTTATGACCAGAATTTTAGGGTTAACTTCTGACCAAAGACTTGAGTTATGACCTAAATGCTGGCCGCTTGTGTAATTGTCAACAAAGATTCCCGATGACAGAAAAGCATACAGAAGCAAACATAAGCATCAATCTGAGTCCAGATGTGGGTGCTTGTGGCTGTGATTTCGGTCAGTGCTTTATATAATTGCTATGATTACTGTTACCAAAATGGTCCCAAAAGAGCTAGAAAAGGAACTAAAGAAGGAAATGAAGATAAAGAAAGTAACCACAATGGAAAAAATGGAAATTGTGGAGAAATAATTGTATTATTTGTGCTACCAATCCTGCTAGTATGTACAGCATGTTGAAATCCACTGTCTCATCAATCTTACTGAGAAAGATTTGTATAAGGAAGAATGTTATTAAAGGTGTTATTCAAATTAGTAAATCATGATCAACATTGGTAGGTAAGTGAAAGGGCTATTATTGATGTGGATAAATGAAGGGTATAGCCTGAGTCCATAATTTGTGAAAAAGCTAGGGCTG